ATACAATGCGCGTAATATATACATATAAATAATACGTATAATAATATACATTATACCGTATCTCGTGTGCGCGCTTCGCAAATTATTTAGGTATGTATATGTATGTATATACACATAACGTATACACACACGCGCACGCGCGCACACATATACGTATTACATAAATTTTAACTTTTTATTAGATTTATAATAAAAAATAATAAATTATACAATGCGCGTAATATATACATATAAATAATACGTATAATAATATACATTATACCGTATCTCGTGTGCGCGCTTCGCAAATTATTTAGGTATGTATATGTATGTATATACACATAACGTATACACACACGCGCACGCGCGCACACATATACGTATTACATAAATTTTAACTTTTTATTAGATTTATAATAAAAAATAATAAATTATACAATGCGCGTAATATATACATATAAATAATACGTATAATAATATACATTATACCGTATCTCGTGTGCGCGCTTCGCAAATTATTTAGGTATGTATATGTATGTATATACACATAACGTATACACACACGCGCACGCGCGCACACATATACGTATTACATAAATTTTAACTTTTTATTAGATTTATAATAAAAAATAATAAATTATACAATGCGCGTAATATATACATATAAATAATACGTATAATAATATACATTATACCGTATCTCGTGTGCGCGCTTCGCAAATTATTTAGGTATGTATATGTATGTATATACACATAACGTATACACACACGCGCACGCGCGCACACATATACGTATTACATAAATTTTAACTTTTTATTAGATTTATAATAAAAAATAATAAATTAATTAAAAAGTAATATAATTCCTTAATAACAATAAAAATAATAATCGCGTATATATATGATGTTAATATTTAATATACTACATCAATTATATATTACTACATTTAATTATATGTATGATTTTGTATGATTGATATTTAATTGCATTAATTTTATATTAATTTCAATTTGATTAATTTGTTATTTATATTAATTTTCTTTATTTATTCATATAATTTTTTTTATTATCTATATTAATTTAAATATTATTTCTACTCTTTTTTATCCTATATATATATTGATTTTATTACTTTATATTTATGCGTATTTATTTTTTCCTGGTTTTATGACGGTGATATAGCATGACATACATTGTAAATCATGTTACAGCGAGAAATGCTGCTTCATCAAGTTGAGGCATATTAACGATCGCGATTACAGTCTTTGTAATAATTAAATTTGCGAGTGAAACAAGTATGTGCGGAATAATCACAATGATGGAAATACGTCTACCTGTTGCATCATTACATTGTCGCAGAAAAATTTAACATTTAAATAACATTCAAAAATTTATTCATTTATTTATATCTTTCTGCCTTCTAATGATTTATAAGTAAGTACAACTATCTATTTAATAAATAGAAAGAAAATAAAAATTATAATAATACTTTAACAGAGAGAAAAACAGATATATCTATACAGAACTTTACCTCGAAATTTTAACGAATAACTTTTGTATTTTAATCAGGCGTAATTGTTTCCTAAACTAATATTAAGTCGATAAGATGACGGTGTATTATTCTCATTTTTTTGAATCAGTATTGTTTCCCTCAATCAAGATTGAGATTGCTTCCGATCCCACAGCGTCAATTCCCACTAGAGAGCGTGGGAAATTTTTTCTTTGCCAGTTGTTGGACGTTCTAAATTTTCGAGATAGCTTATCCGCTCTTTTCTTCTCAAATGTTTGGAACATTTTATCTCTTTTTTATTTCGTTTCTGTGTCTCTTTCTACGACAAAATAGCCTATTTAGAAGATTTCAAAGCCTTGAAAAGCAGTGGCACATTTTTTACAACGGTAAAGCACACAGATGAATCCAAAGGCGTCATTTTATCGTTTAACTAAAAACGCCTATGGCAAAAAGTTTATTTTTTGTTTCATATTCTTGTTATGAATATCGAGGCAACTTAAAAAAAAACTCTTAATTTTACTTATTTATTAATTGAATAAGATATAATATAATCATTCTCTTTAATAATAAGTTGTAATATCTTTATCTCTCTCTCTCTCTCTCTCTCTCTCTCTCTCTCTCTCTTTCTCTCTCTGAAATATGAAATACTTTAATATGCTTACAATATGCTAAAAATGTTGTCCTTCCATTATTTGAGAATATGTTAAATAATAAGCTAAATATATAAAAATAAAGACTTGAAATTACTTGTAATTTTTTATAATCTGAATAAAAAGCATATGCATACCGGCAAATATTTCAATAATAAGATCTTCGAACATTTATATCGTATTTTAAAGATAAAGATAATAAAACTTTGAATAATTATATATATACCTATATCTTTTGTAATTATATTTCTTTTATTCTGATTGATACAAACAAGTAAGATTACATCATTTTAAAGTTATTTCTATATCGAATGCAAAAATCGCGAATAAAAAATAGGAATTGTCATTTAAAAAAATTTTTCTTGACATTTGGAGATCAACCAGAGATCACTATTAACTACATTACTTAATATATTAAAGCTTTTGTATTTTTTCTAATATACAAAATAATTCTTTTTTGAAGATATTTTACTTGAGGGAAACATATCGGAGCGATTAACTTTCAATAATTAATGATTTAATTAATTGGATGGTCAATCATGATATGGGTTTAATAACAATTAATAAATCAACGCAAACATATAAACAAATAGGCATATTAAAGTTGTCAAACATTAATGATGTTGACAAATGTTAATGAAGTTGACAAGTTTTAACAATAATTTCAATATTAATTAATTTATAATTTAATTATGCAGTAAATTATAAATTCGGAATTCATGTTTGCATTTAATTTTAAGAATTTAATATATTATCATCGGCGAATGCATATTGCATTCCGAGTATCAACCGCAAGGTGACACAAGATGATGAGAAACGTTAACATAACATATGATGAGTGGATATATGCTGATGACGCATTTCTCTTCATAATCTACTATGATCCAACGCGCGTTCCATGATTTCATATGCATGATACAATGACGAGTTTTAAAAAGTGAGAGGAAATTGTGACGATAAGATTTTTCATCAATTTGTAATCGATTCTATATCGAAAGCAGCAATGTCAACAAAATGATTGAATAATTTGCCATTAAAAATAAAACATTTTTTACACTATGACATTTTGCATTTGATTTTAAATACTACTTATTTTGCTTCAATAAATTTTGATTTGTAGTTTCGGCAAAAAGATATATTGTCCCATGTTTCGCAATCTTAATTTTGATAATGAGATATTCTCCTATCAATCCTTTCTTTTTCAGCGAATATCATCATACACCTCAACTATTCAATTATATCTTTAAATTTTGAAGTCTAAAATTAAATCTTAATTTAAAATTTTATTATCTATTAAAAGATCCATCTTTGACCTTATTTAAGAAATACAATTTTATTATTTATATTCTTCCTTCAAGCTTAATCCGGAAAGAATATTTTAACTAATGAGATATTTTTAGAAATTATTTGCCTATATATAAATAAAATATATATATAAAAGACATAACAGATATTTTTGATAAGAGTTGATTAATTTTATATTCTCTGAGTTGTACCAAATACAATTCTGTACGTACATTATCTGTGGTAATTATATGTCATCGCGGAAATGAGGCGTTATTGTAACTGCAATCATCACGCTTCCGCTATTGCCATATAATCATGTTCATGATGCACCGGAAACTAAAGTGACCTTCACGCTTCGCAAAATTTATAGCGGTTTAACAAGAGGCGTTTGAATTTTATAAGAAATTTAAAAATCTGTTAAAAGCAAAAAGGATTAAGGGTAGAGTTTAGAGAATTTGGCGAATAAGTATCTAGAGATAAAAAAATTTCGTGATATGAAAAAAATGAAAAAATTATCAAGACAGGGTCGAGAGAATTTAATAAACAATTGCTTTTCCCTTGTAATCCACGTTTTCAATAATTCGATGTCTCTAAAATATTAATCGTTAGAAGTGAGAATCATATGGTACATTCTATGTAGAACAGCGCAATGAGTGTGGGATCGAATAGACCTAACAACAACCTTTGTACGCGTTCTCCACCACGCGATTATAACGAAACGTAATTCCACCGTTCCACGAAGGCGCTATGGAACATCGCGCACCTGTACCAATAACATTCCCGTTGTATGCGTGTACACGCAAATAGATACACATGCGCGCGTCGAGATTACGTATGTTCGTCCCGACTGTCATCGGTATAATTACGTTTGCAAACGGCAAACGCACTCGTGCATGCGCCGCCGACCCTGCATCCCGCAACGCCTAAAGCCGCATTCATATTGAAGGAAGAAATTATAGAGAAGCTATAGAAAATTATACATCATAATTAAGAAAAATTACATAGACACATACATATGCATACATACATACACAACACACGCACGCGCGCGTATATATATATATATAAACAGATAAAGAATTAAGAGATAAAAAGACATAAAAAGGAATTGGCAAGTTTAAATCTTAATGAAGAATTAAGTAACATATCATAAATTGAAGAATTCATGATATGTTTTTATTATTATGCAAAAATAATTCTATTAATGATAAAAAAAATAAGAAGTAAGAGAGAGAGAGAGGGAGAGAGAGAGAGAGAGAGAGAGAGAGAGAGCCAGAGAGAGAGAGAGAGAGAGAGAGAGCCAGAGAGAGAGAGAGAGAGAGAGAGAGATATGAAAAAACATACCATTTAACATACATATATATTCCAATGCAAACTTAATCATTTTTTCAAAACATACAGCTTTGTCAATAGTACAAAATACTAAGAGCTTCCTGTTTTTTTTTTGTTTTTTTTTGCAATAACTCTAGTCGGCATTTACGATATGATATTTATAATATGATATTTCCGATAAGACTTTTTGCATTTTGATATTTGATAAAAGAATATTTGCATTATCAATTTTGCTACTCACCTTGGTATCATCTTTTTCAGCTCTCCGATTGTCGGGCTATACTTTCGGTTCTCTCCGCTAATTCTTGCTACTCCTTCGTCAATATTCACCGCGTACCCATTTACTACCAAATCCACCAAATCCGCGAAAACGTCGTGCTTTCTCATCGTCGACGATGATGGGGTCAGTTCGCTTTTCCCGGATTTTTCAACGACGGGCGTCGTGTCGCCATTTGCCTGTTCTCGGCTACCATTACCTCGTTGAAGGAACTTCCGGCGGAAGTTGTTGTACACACTGTCGGCGTCCGCCGGGTCGCCGACCCTGACGCGAGCGTGGCTCGGGGTCAGGTGATGGCCGCTGTAGCCCAGGTCCATCTGCAGATCCATCACTAGCAAAAGCGTAAACACGATAGCGACCGCGCTTAGGCCCAGCACCAGCTTATCGCGAATACGGATAAGTCTAATGGTTAGTTTCATTTTGGGATTTTTATGGAGCCTACTGATCGATTCACTTCTCCTCTTATCTTCTAATAAGTTTTGCTTAATTATTGGCAACCGCAAATCATCAGATTGATGATCTACAAGACGGTAAGTCTGGCGGATTAGTCGTTGGTTATTCAAAGATTCAAGATTGTTGATTATCTTTAAGGCAGGCGAATTATTGGTATATATCTTGGTGACTAATTCTTTTATTTTAATGGATGGATTTTTCAAAATATTTTCTTGACTTTTTGTAGAATTTACTATTAATGACAATCGTCGATCTATAGGTTTATCCAATCGATAATCTATATGATTGGAAAACTTCTGTGGATTTTTTTGAATTATTCGTTGATAATTTGGACCTTCAAGGTTATCAGTTATCTTCAAGGTTGACAAATCGTCACTATTCACTTTAATAACTTGATTCGTTAAAGTTTCTTCGCAATCTTTTATTCTGATGATTGAATTTTTCAAGATCCCTTTGGAATTTTTTATCTCGACGACTGGTTTCTTTAATATCTTTTCGTATTTTACCTCGATGGCTTGAATTTTTGAAATCTTTTTGGAATCTTTTATCTTAATGGCTGGATTCTTTAGATTCTTCAGATCTTCTTCAAAATTTGTACATCCTGATACACTTTCAGTGGACTCTATAATGAAATTGGTTTCTGAATCTTCTTTGGAGCTATCTACTAGTTGCTTTGGGCAAGAGAAGACTTTAGAAATTGTAATATGCACTTCGGGGGGCTTCGCGATCGACTGATGTTTCGCATAGTGATTCGAATCCGTAAGTCTGTATTTTTCGATTGACGAATCGTCTTTATCGGCTGACCCGTCGTTATCAAACCCTGTTGACCCTTGACTCAAGCAGTCTTCATCCGGTGGAGGCGACCGCTTAGCTTTAGAGTCAGTATTGCGTTCTTCCCGTACTTTCTTAGATCCCTGAAGAATTTGCTGAGGAACTTTGGATAGAAGATGACGTCTATGGATAATCGATGATTGATGAGGAAGATCAATTAAATCGTTCGTTTGTTTAAATTTTAAATTCTTGTTTAATGAAAGATCGTTATAGATGGTTTGTTTTGTTGGTTGCGATAGTCTCTTCTTTCTTTCAATTAAAGAAGTATCTTCCCCGGTTAAAGAACAAAATTCCTTGGTCAAAGAAAAATGGTCTTGAACTTTTGTTCTTTTTGTTAATTTCGATGGTAGGTCTTTCTCAGAAATATCTTTGGTCAATAAAGAATTATTCTTATATGCTGTTAACTTTATATCATCAGAAATATCTTTTCTTTGCGATAATGAGGAACTCTTTTTTATACATGCAGACAATTGTGAAGCTTCTTCAAAATCTTTTTTTATTAAAAATACTTTTTCATCAAAACTGCTCTTTGACAACTCTGGATTTTTCTGAATATATTTGTCCATTAATTGCATTAATGGGTCAATTGGAGTATTCTTCTTCGGATTGTCGTTGACATTTTTCTTTATCAAAAGCTGTGGACTCTTTCGAACATAATCCTTTGAGAATAATGTAGTTTCTCCAATACCTTTCTTTGTTGACTGCGAGATCTCATTAGCTAAATCCTTATGAATATTCTTCTTCTCTGATAACAGATCTTTTTTGTCGTTTTCTTGAGTTGATCGTTCTTTAAGATTTATTTTCGTCAACAATAAATTTTCATCACTTTTTTTCTTTGGTAATATAATGCTTTTATGAATGTCTTCGTCAATCCTCTCTTTCTTTAATAACAAAGGACTATCCAGATTATATTTTTTTGCAATTATTGCTCTCTGCTGATTGTTTATTCCGGCTGATAGTATCTTTGTCTGTATATTATTCTTCAGTGGATTTTCGCAAATGTCCTTATTTGCTAATATTAGGATCTGCCGATCGCTTCTATCAGTTGACAATGCTTTCCTTTGAATATCTTTTTTCAACAACAGAGAACATTCCTTAATATCCTTTCTTAAAATCTTTCTGACATCTTCTCTTGTTTTTAATATTATACTCTGTCGATAGCGCCTCTTGCAAAATAATACTTTTTCTCGAATATCCTTCTTCAACAATAAGAAATTTTCCCAAACATTTTTCCTCCTTAGATTTGAATTCTGCTGGATACTCTTCTTTAGAAACGATTGGCCCTTATTGATAGTTCTTAGGAATCTGTCGCACCTCTTACCGATATTCTTCTTTAACACCCTTTGCAAGAAATCGTCCGCTATATTAAATCTTCTAATACGATCTACTTTCAATCGATTGTCAATCCCATTTAATAATTCTAAGGATTCATCTGTTACCCTCTTTGTGGGGTTCCTTGACTCTTTATCATTGTCTTTCTCGTTCTTAAATTTAAATCTTCTGCTTAAATTTAAATCTTCTGCTGTCGATCTTGATCTTGATTCCTTGCCCCTTGAACTAGATTCTCTGCGCTTTGACCTCGATCTTGATTTGGATCTTTCTAATTTTTCGCGATCGTTTGCGTTATCTATGTATATCGGGCGGTCGGCAGTTGCTGTCGCGTTGCTGCAGCTTGCACTTCCGGAACATTTCCCGTCAGCCAGAGCTCGGGATGATCTCAAGGAATGATAATCCGGCGTGATGCGCCGGATATTGATAAATTTAATAACGAATCACTTGATTGCACTCTTTTATTGCACTTTGAACATTTGTTGAAACACAGCAAAGAAATATTGTATATCACTTGTTTAGTTAAATAAATATGTTTATTACCCAAGTAAGATTAAATTAATCGATAGATATTAATTGGATTTCGAATGTGCCGTGCACACCACGACGTCCTTATTATCGCGCCGTCTGAAACAAAAACAAAAAATATTGATTTATATGGGGAAAATTATACGACAATTATTATATTATTATTATGTGGCATTCATATATATTTAACTAAAATTTTTTATATTTTCTAAATCTCTTCTACTACATATCTATGATATTTCTTTTTTTCTTTTTCCTCCTCTTCTCCTAAAATATTTTATAAGTCTTAATTAATTCTTAAGATTTTTAGAAAATGGAAACAATTACGATTTTTTTGAAATTCTTTGTATTATGATTACGCATATCGATGCATCGTGTTGCATCGCGAGTTAATACGATGCGTCGTCGCGATGCATCATGTGGTTCGTGGTATGTAATTCAAGTCGATAACAAGACTGGCCAGCGTTATTTTTATACAATGGCGCGCGGCGGGATTTTTTATATCGTTATATCACGTTACCGTCACATATATAATACATGTGCCACTTTGATATTTATATCGCGCTAAAGCGTATGAAATCAGATAAGTGTATGGCACGATAAAACTATATATATTACGATCAGCTATTCCCTTATTTTTTTTATCTTTATTTTTTAATAGCAGCGGTCTTATTTATAACAATAAATAATTACCTCAAATTATATTTAAATATAGATATTTAAAAAACAATTAAATGTTTTTAATAAAAAAATAATTCTATTAAATTTTTTATAGCACATAAAATTTATATATAATAATTTTTTAATTAGTTAATTAATTATTGACTAAATTTTCACATAAATTTAATAAAAGTTTTAAAATAAATGAAAAGATTCAATAGATTTTGAGAAACGATTTTTATTATTACTATTATTATCTTATGTGATATAAATATCTAATTATATATAGACTTTTATATATGTCATTAAGGACATACATTAATATTGGGACATACATTAATATTGGGACATAAAATAAAATAAACAGTATAATGATATTTAAATTTGATAATATTGCATTGTTCTCATATTTATTGATGAAATTTCAATCTCTTAATTGCTAATTAATTAGCGAACGCAAATGAGAGGCAAAAGGACCCCCCGAGAGCCTCAAATATCATCAAGAGTCCATATGTTATTTCGAAAACACAATCACGTCTCTGAGTACGTAGGGTTTTACGAACACCGCAAGCTCTTTTTTTTTCATACGCAGAGAAATATGGCTATATATACAATATCTTTATTATATCGAGATTGTGGAGGAGACGCGTTGAATTTCAATGGCACCTTCAATTTCGGTCCGACATCAACTTTTACAACGAGACCGCGGATCGCATTACACAATGTAAGTGCCTGCTCAGATCGCAGATTCTGGCGAAATGGCCATTCAAAGATCGTCAAACATCCTGATAAATATTAATGATATAAAAACGACTATAACCATTTTCTAGAATATAAACGACCTCATCATTTTTTTACATCTCTTTTGTTTATATGTAGCCATTTTATAATTACAAATTATCGTATGTTGCTTTATAAATAATATTTATAGAAAAAAAATATGTGTGTTTTTAAGAAAAAGTATTTATATTAATTTTATTTTCATCTTTACTTCTCGTTTCTCAGCCCAAGCAACCTATTTGTAGTCTTTTAATGCGATATATCTTGCAATTTTCTTAATTTTTTATTTATATTATTTTTCATCCCAATATTTATGAAAATCTAATTCTTTGATCATTTCGATTGGAGAATCTGTATTCACATAATCTGATTGATATCGATAGCCTTTCAAGGATCAAAAATTGCGATGCAATGATAAGAAAATTCACGCGTAAAAATAACGCATTATGCTTTTTTATTGTTTGCATCCAAGTTTGCATCGTCGGGTCAAGGTGCGGTCTTTAAGGAAAGGGTGAAAGCAGATAGATATCAACTGTGAAATAGAGTGACGATAATGGGGTGCTTCGTTGTGAAAGTGGTAACCATTACAGTTACCGCGGAGTCGCGTTGTAAAAGCGAGGGTGCATATTTTTATATATATTTATATACCATAAATGGAAGGAGAGAGAGAGTTGCTGCATATTGAAACGACTGTATAACTCAATACTTTTATCTGTCTGCCATGCTAACAATAAGAAGAAAGGAGTCTCGAAGTCGTGCATATATACACATTTCTGATTACTAGTCCTGATTACCTTTCCACTTTCTTTCTCTCTTGAAGCTTAAAATAATATGGTTTTATTATTTAAATAAAATAATATATTTTCAAACTTTTTATAAAAGTAATCATATACATATATAAAAATATTTACGTTTTTTGTCGAAATACTAAAAGCGATATATTCTACTTTCCCTTCTATCTTCGATAATGTTTTTTATTACAACGGGTTTTAGAAGCTGTCTCGTATAAATATCACATTAAATTTATTTTGTCAACCAAATGTTTTATAATTATATATACGATTTATCTCTTAAAGAGAATAAATTAGAAAAACTCGCAATAAGTAGAATATGTATATCAACATATGTATACCAGAGACATATTAATCTTATATGCACTAACATTCTCTAAGGTTAATAGTAAAATTCCAAAAATAGCAAAAATGAATTTCGCGACTTATTCAATTCGCATATATTTTCACATACAGAATTCAAATATAAAATCATGAATAATGTATAAAAGCGCGATGTGTGATTGTCCGTGCTATTAAAGATTGTTTAAATTGAGATTCGAGTTTAAACTCAGCTTGCGCGATCTTTATTTAGATTCGCGACTCGCGTTATTTTGATATTTCGATGATGTAAATTGTGCGACCTATGTTTATGTATTTTCGTGTAGTTTGCGTCATTGAAATCTGTGCGATCATGTTTTTGCACTTTATCGCATATGTATACTATGCATTCACGTGATGATAAGGTTTCGCAAGCGCGATAATAAGGCGCGAATGTCGCCGGAAATAGAAGATAAATTCATTTTGTATGTCGTTTAAATCTCTAAATTGAAGTATCAATTTCCATATTTTAATAATTCTAAATTTAATATAAACCATAATTTTTATTATTGCGTAAGAAAAAAAGCTCTAACCATGGAAAAATTAATCGTCAACCAATAATACGAGATCTTTTAAATCCTCATATCATAAAAGAGCACATATTCTGTGGGTATATATAAATATTATATATGTAATATATAGATATAATATATATACACACACACGCGTATGACATACGCATATAATACGCGTGTATATATATATAATTTTTTTATTAAATTTTATAAATGTTTTATAAAGAAATCTCATGTTTGTGTGTACAGATATATGTATATGTATGAACGTATAACTTTTTATTAAATTTTATGAATGTTTTATAAATTCCAAATCTCAAATTATTAAATGTAAAAGCAAAAATATGCTGAATATGAGACATCTTGTGTAAATACATGTAAATATGCGTCAAATTTAATATATAATACGCACACATACACACACACATATATACAAATATTTTACGCGTGCACGCGTGAATTTTTCGCATGAAGAGAAATAGAAACGGAGGTACTAAAAGGAATGATTTTTAGGGGAATTCGATTATATATGCCAGCTCGACAAAATTTCTCTCTCCCTTTATCTGTCCCCCCTTTTCCAATTCTCAGCTGAGTTCTTTCGTTTATTGAATCTCATGGGGAATGTGTTTCGCAGGCAAAAAGTGGAAATCTCGGACTGCAATTATCACTAACGTAAGCATAACGACCTTGCCAGCGGCACGCGCCATTTTATGCAGCCATAAAAAAGTAGTTGTTGCCGGTTCGTAAAGAAAAAGAAATGTCTATATCTGATAAAAAAAAGACGCAGAAGAAAATCTGCTGATAAAACTATATTTATTATCAATATATTTGTTATTAGTTATTATCATATTTATTGCACATAAAAACTCTCGATATATAACTTTGTGTAATACCTAATCTTATTTTTAAGAAACTTGGATTTAGAACAAAATACATTTTTTTTATTGATTAAAGAGCTTATAGCTAAGAGATAATTAGTTATACAATACGTGAACAGTTTATATCTTAATACACACACACACACATACATATATATTATATTGTATTCTTACATATTTCTCTCCTTTAAAAAATTATTACTTGGATATGATAATTAAAAGGAAAAGAAAAATATTTTCAAAATAAAAATTATTGATCTCTTTCTGTACAATACACACATAAAATATTTGTTTTGATCATCGTACAAATTTTATAAAACATTTTTAAGATATGGATCATAAGTGACTCGATGGAGGGTCATTAAACATTAAATAGTGTAACTCCGGGGAAGATGTCACATCGGGTAAGATGCTACTTCTGTGAGAATTTTTTATTGTTGTTAGGTTACTGTTAAAATAATAAGAAAATTAGACTTCTTTAATTATAACCAAATATAAATATAATGACGATACTTTCGATTTGTGTTTTATTTTCTTTTACTCATAATTAATAACTACAGAAATATTGCCTTTCAAATTTAGGTATGGCGTCTTCTCCCAAGTTACTCTATATATGATAGAATTTTATATGTAAATAAATTCGAGGTATTTATTCGTAAAAAGAGAAAAGGACAAAAAAATAAGCCAAGGAAAAAGAATATTTCAAGAAATAATTAAAATGTCCGAAAAAGTTATATAAAGATATGCTAATAATCACACAAAAAGAACTAAGTAAAATGAACAGACTTATCAGATTATAAAAAAAAGAATTTTGCTGATCATTAATTACATGTTGAAATTCCTTATCATACTCTTATCACGGTCGCAGATAAAATTAGGATGAGGGAGAGAAGTGAAAGAGGGGAGAAGGTGGGAAGGATTAAATCGGCGGAATTTGTATCTATGTATTTACACAACAAAGGTGCACACATCGCTACCGTAACCATGCGAGAGTATGGAAGTGTTATCTTTCAGGGAGCGAAAATGGCAATAAAGTTGCAATTTAGAGGCCGTAGGCTAGCCTCGTTAATGCCATTCGATGTTAATGTGCATGTTGAATAAAAGATTCTTACTTA